AAGGATGGCACGCGCGATGCCCGGCTATTTGCGAATTAATGTCGTTTTATTGGGATCCCAGGGGTTGAGTGGCGATGACCTCGCGAGTAATTGGACGTCGCGCGACTTGACACTTAATCGTGACTCATCGTACGCGGATTATCTCGCTCGGGAAAGATTATCCGCTCTCGATGAAGTCCGGCATATATGAATCGCCGTAGCGGATGCGAGAAATTACGGGTATTACGCGCGACGATAATGATGTGTTAATATGAATTTAACAGCAGCGCCTTCGGTATCGATCGTGCAATTTTTTTTTCTCCCTTCTCGATCTCGCGTTCTCTTTACGCTTTATTCCTATTAATGCAATAAGGTACCATTATCCTTAAGTGATGCTGCAGCTCGGGGCGTTCGGCCGATCTTCGCTCGAGATAAAATAATCGCGTGATTATATCAACATGGAATATTTCAAAAATTCTGTAAATGAAAATGTAAAGAAAAATGCAAGTATATATTAAAAAATATATCAGTGCTAAGAGATATTACAGATTGTGATTATCTATATTTTTGGCAACGCGCGTCATCCGCGTAGTCAGCTGACGTTTGATCCGTGAACGTTGAATTACGACAGTGTCAGAACGAGTCGTTGTCTCGGTTAACTGTCGCACGCGTGTCTCGCGACTGGCGTTTATTCGTCGTACCGAGCGTCGACGTATCGATGCGTGTCACAAAAATCGATGACGCCATCACACGGGTAATAACCGCGAAAAATCGAGAGGCGGAGACACCGATGACGTTCGTGTTTGTTGTGAATGTCGGAAAGGCGAGGGTATTTCTGGCCACGATGAGTCATGCCGCCCACGCAATCTCACGCATACAGAATCGCGATACACCAGAGAGCAAGAGAGAGAGAGAGAAGGAGAGGAGAGAAATACACGTAATTACTTATCTTGCTGCACTCGCGCGCGCGAAACGCGTGCAACGCCTCGGGCGGAACATTTTTTATAGAATTAAAGATTAAGGCTCCGTATTCGCACCCCATATTTACCGCTAAGTATGATCGTTCGGTTCCGAGTTTTATTAGTATCACGCGAGGATCGCAAACAATATTATGCCGAGCGTGGCGGTCGAACGATCGTAATTAAGGCTAAACGTCGGATATAAAAGCACGATAATATGAGATAATTAATATTTAACTTTGCATCGAACAAAATCAAATGCGATATACCGAGGGTTTGTACCCGAATATTCTTCAACGAGATTTCACTCGTTTATTAAAAACGGGGGTTCGTCGAACTCCCGTTAACCCGCGGTGCCATAAGCCGGTGCACTTAGTGCGGTGTGTTAGATTCCCCAAGAAGATATTAAAAACAGCTGGGTCGCGCTACGGTCGTACGATCCGACGTGTCGCTTACAAGCGACGAATTTATCGCCGTTGCCGCGAATTTAAGTACCATCCGGCGCTCGCGACCGACGTTTCGTCGCTTTCGATAAATTGGCTCCGGTGTTTTTCAAGGCGTTTTAAAAAAATATAGGCGGGTAACGAACGCTTGCGTCCGTCGTACGAAGATCTGCCCAAGTTTTTGCAAGATTATCAGTTAATTCTTTGCATTTCACTGACGTCGCTACAGCGACATATGTGTATGCACTATATAGGTACTCTAATTATGAATGTAAAAGATTAGTCGTTTATTAACGATAAAGATAATTTTACGATGTTGCACATCAGATATTAAGCTAACTAATTTTTTAATTAATGTAAAACCTGCTTGATAAAAAAATCATTCAGAATTCGTTAAATAATCAATTTCAAACACATTTTAAAAAGTACATATTTAATTTGCCTGTTAAATTATAAGATAAAATTCGAGTGCATGCTATGATTCTGAAAATGTCATATGACGCGAATACAATCATGTCACACGCGGTATTTCTGCTTTACGGAATATGTGCCAAAAGATGATATTTATGTCATACTATTGTATCTTATTAGAGATTCATAGATTTTTAAAAATACCCTACTAAAATATGACATTTCACGATTGTGAGCAAATCCAGAATAATATTAATTTGACTAACGTCAATTCCAATTTATAACATGTAGGATGTCCTCTAAATTATCTTATTTTAGAACGCAATTGCCTCTAAAATAATAAATAAATATATGATTTGCTAAATTTTTGGCACTATATATCAATTAGAATCTTATTGCAAATATAGAAAAAAAATATATTACATTATATAGTACGCACATTTATTGTTCTATTATAATTTTATTTGCTCATTATGTCGAGAATATTTAAAGGGAAACAAAATCGATATCATGCAGAGCAAAGACTGCGTTTCACGATAATCTTCACTGTTTCTTACCGCGCTCGCGAATTCCATTAATCCCAAGGGGAATCCTGTTGGCAGAATCCGTGATTCTGGAATTTCGGGATTCTGCGTCAAAAAACGAGTTCGTGCGCGAATAAAAGTTGCGCTCGCGTTCGCGATCGACACGTGCTCCATCGAGACCACACACGTGGTTCCAAGCAATCGCAAAAATATATCTCATTCGGTACTTTTAAATTTAATCCTCGTGTTTAATATACGCGAATTTTATTTTATAATTTTCATATACAGATTGCAAAATATGTATGCCTTGAAATAATTTAAGATAAATTATTTAATGTAAATCCTGAGTGCATTTTTTTCTTATCAAAAGTGATTGAATCCTCGTACTTAATGCGCGCGAATTTTATCTTATGATTTTAACACGTAAATTACTAAATATATGTTTCTTCAAACACATAGTTTGAAGTAGAATATTTAATGATATTTATTTGTGTTTTACCTTCTCATTTTTTATTATCGCAGAAATATATAGCAAAATTTAAAAAAATGTCGCCCTTACGCAATCGCAATGACGAGATTAATATAATTTTGCTACATATTTCTGTAATAATAAAAAATGACAACGTTAAAACAACAAATCGCTGCATTCGTCATAATGTTAGCGGAATGCCATTCATCATCGATTAAAATAACAGTAAATTATCGCTAACACAACATAATACTATATTATAATAATATAGCGATAATGAGATAAGACAAATTGTTTTTAAATCCACAGATAAATATATGTATATATAATTGTGCAGTTTCTATCATTTGCAAAATAATGCAAACACACTACTGCATATATAATATACAGGGAAATAAAAAATACATATACATAATAAATTGCGGCGATAATGAGATAAGACAAATTGTTTTTAAATCCACAGATAAATATGTATAGATAGTTGCGCAGTTTCTACATTTGCAAAATAATGCAAACACACTACTGTATATAATATACAGGGGAAAAAATACATATACATAATAAATTAGCGATAATGAGATAAGACAAATTGTTTTTAAATCCACAGATAAATATGTATAGATAGTTGTGCAGTTTCTACATTTGTAAAGTAATGCAAACGCACTACTGCATATAATATACAGGGGAAAAATACAGATACATAATAAATTAGCGAAAATGAAATAAAACAAATCGTTTTTAAATCCACAGAAAAATATATGTATATATAGTTGCGCAGTTTCTATCATTTGCAGAATAATGCAAGCCCACTGCTTCATATAATACACAGGGAAATAAAAAATACATACATAATATTCAGCCGAGAGAGACGCGAATCTTTATACCCAACGCAGCTTCCTCGTGGCGACATCACCCGGTATATTGCCAACTCGCTACACACATTCCAAACCGACAATCTCTCGTTCCGACAATGTGGGAGGCTGAAATCGCGAAATGCCGTAAACATCGAGGCGAGATTCGCACGTCAAAATGATTAAACACGTCTTCGGGCGCTCTTCTCGCAACCTGCAAACGTAAGGGGCGTGTCTTGCGTGAGACACAACAAAAAAATGTTTACTAATCACGCGGTATAACTCCGATGCGATAATTGAAATGCGCGCTGTTCCGGGTTGTACACCGAGCTGGTTCTCCGTAAATTTTAGCGAGGCTAACGAACACGCGGTTCCCGGGTGACAAAACGTCAGCGAGGTCGGCGATTCGCGAGCCGACGATGTCGTCCCTAATAAGAGTCGCAAAAAAAGGAGCTGCGTGGGAAACAGCCGAGGTGTGAGGTTCGCTCGCTCGGCTTATCGTGCGCGTCTTATGAGGATTAATACGAATGGATTTCGTCACTCACCGACTCATCAGCACTCACCGGGGTCTGTTCCACGTGCAGCGGTCGGATCCGTTTCCCTCGCTCGTTCCGGGAACTGCAAAAACACGGAACGATTCACTTCACTTTGGTTAAAGATATCGCGACGGCGGCCATACTGCCGTGAACTCGAATAATTCGCGCGAGTCCCGCCAGATGGCGTTGCGCGCGACACTCGGATGATAATAGTGAATAATATAATGAGAGATTGCGTCTAAAATGATTTTATTTATATTATATATGTGTGTATGCGATCAAGCCACAGTTGTAAAGTGTAATAAAAATAAAAATGATGCACACATATGAATATGCGAATATGAAAATATCTTATAATATTCTAATAATAGAGTATTTGCGTAATATTTTTAAAAATATTATTTTTAAACATCAGAGATTTAAAAATATAATACTTAAACATATATTGATTCAAATTTAAAATAATTTCATTACGTATTAATTTAAATTAAATTATTATACTTCTAATAACTGCTGTTCCTTTAGAGTTAAATATATATTTTGGTTTTTCAATTAACACACACACATATATTATATATATCTGGACAACTGTATAAAAAAATAAAAAATGTAGACATACAATATATATAATACACACATGTATAATATTTATAGAATATATCTTTGCACATTGAATTATATTTTAGAGAAACTTGAAACGTATAATACTTTTTGAGTATTCTGGCATATAAAAATTCAATCAAATAATTTGAATTTTTAAAAACCTGCGAGTATCGAGATAAAAACATACCACGACAGTATCGACCACAACTGTATCATCGACTGCAACTCTCATCGTCTGCGGCGCGCACAACATAAATAACAGCTGTAACGTCGTTCCTAACCTCAAGGAGCTCAGTCCCTTGAATCGGTCGCATTTCATGAACTGTCAGTGTAATTGTTAGCAATCATTAATTAATTTATTTGTATTGGATTAAGTCGGTCAAGTGTCAGTGAGCTGTAACGATGGTGAAAATCAACACACGATGGAAGACCGCGGAGGACTTTAATATTCTACGAGGAAGCAGTCTTGGTAAGATTGAATCCATTGGTTAGGAACCGCGTAAAGAAACGATAAATGCAAATAAACGTTCGCTTATCATTTGATTCCAGCGACAAAGGTCAAGTATTTCTGGCGTAAAGGATGGATAGAGGTCCCAGTGCTAATGGGAGGCTCGTTCTTCATGGTAGCTGGATTTGCCATGACCGCTTATGCATGGCATTACAGTGGCACACATGATATGACTCCGAAATATTACAAAACTCCGAGAAGTAAGTAATTTAGATATTTATTTTCGAATTATGGATTCAATCGGGCTGTGTGTAATGATTATGTAATCGTGAATGTACGTCGATAAAGCAGAATCGTTGATGAGCAATTAATTAACTGCGTTTCCTGACGCCATCTAATACGTTAATGCTAATTGGGTTAATTTAGTTTACAGACCGGACGATCCACGAGTTCAGACGATCCGTCATGTCTCCTCATTTGACGAGTTGTGAATGATAATTTCCTTTAATAGCATTATATATATATATATGTGATACGCAGTTGTTACATCCTATTGTAGAATTATGAATAAATGTACAAATTATTATACCAACTAATTATAATCCCTTCTTTCTGTGAAACCTGTTTCATCAGTTTTTTAATATCGTAAAAAATAAATTTCTACAATACAAAATATATAAATATAAAAAGGTAGTAATTCTTTGAAGAAATATATATATATATGATATATCATTTTATATTACTCTTTTTCTTTTTTTAAACAAATAAAATATTTTTAAAGTCTCGTTTATATCGTAGATAGGTATATTAAGCTTATTATAATCACGGCATGATAGATCCTGAAAAATCGATCGTAAAATTTTTCTCATAAAATTGCAATAAAGGGAAAACGGTTGACGGTTAAATATACGATCAACGTACGCTTCTTTTATATTCTGAAACAATATTGTATCCCTTGATCTTCAAAAACTTGTAAAATACTTATGCTACGCATATAAAAATTGCTTGCGCGAAGAATTTGGATTTTTTTATACATTTATTTCAAACGTGTAAAAAATTCAAATTGAAACAATAATTATGTCTATTTAAATATATCATAGGAGAACTAGTTGTTGATTTTTATTCTTATCATAATAAATAATATAAAAGCCGATCTCTCGCAGAAATATCTTTGAAGGACATTGTAATTATTCAGGCGTTTTTCTAAAAATATTTTAAAATATGTTATATCGTCATTGTTTTATTTTTGGAGTAAAAGATTCGTGAAAAATTTCCCTTCTATTGCACCGAGTCATTCTACACTTATGCTTCTCTCTCCGACCTTTTAGTATACATTTTAATATTAAATTTCTCGTTGTGCCCCTGTGAGTAAACTCTTCACGTGTCATGAAAGATTATGAGGCAGAAACAGAGACTTCTTTTCTCGTGTCATACAATTTCGACTATTTCTTTTCCTTGATGTTCTTTATTTATATTGTTTGTAAAGCAGGACGAATTATTTACACACATATTGTTAGTCTCAAAGAATGAGAATCTTGCGATCTTTTTCATTTAAAATTACTATTTTGTATTTTATTCAAAGCTGATAATATCTATTTAAATTTCAATATATATATATAAAATGTAAATAATTGTTTTATAAAAAGAATGTTAAATATGCGTGGAAAGTAATTAATATATTTATAGCATCTATATATAATATAACTTTATATTATTAACATGTATAATTATATTGTTAATATATGCATATAATTACATGATTAATATATAAATTATATTATCATAAAATATATTATACTATTAATACACAAAATTGTTAAAAATGAGTGATAAAGAATGATGACAGCGAAATTGAATGTTCAAATACACATGTTTGATTACACCGACCTATTATTAGAACCCTTGACAAATAACAGCTCTACACAAACAACAAACTGCACAATTCCCCATTCGTGATTTCGACACAAGAACCTGGGTATATGAAATCACGTCGATTAAGAAGAATTGAGGAGGTCCAATAAATCTTGTCGACACTCTCGCGTGAGGGAAAAAAAAAAAGGACGCAGATACGTCCTGCGATATTCCTGCGAAGTCGGGACGCAGGATCGTAGGATCACGCAGTGCCTCCCTGTGCTTGCCCGTATATTGCGTGTGTACACTATTATAACGCGGAGGACGGCGTAACGTAGAGGGTTGTACGCGTCGCGGGAGAGGGATGAGAAAATGTGCGCGCGAGAGGGAGAGTAAACGAGAAAGGAGGGATGTTCGATAGACGAGAAGGAGAAAGGGAGGCTGAAAGAGCGGGAGAGAGAGAGGGACAGGGATGAAAAGGGTGAGAGCAGCAAGGGGAACGTGGAGCACACGGTACGGAGGCACCCCTCGGTTTGCCTCGCCAGTGGTTCAGTCAGCGCTTCGCACCGGCGTCGCTTCGCTTCGCTCCTCGCTCGAGATCCCTATCGGGCACGTCCTCGTGCAAATCGTCGCGTGCCCCCAGTCGTCTCGCGAAATCAATGAGCCCGCGACATATCAGCAGGCACATCCGGGCCTCGTTCAAGTAAACCGCGACCGCGAAGCCGCTGTGACAGGACCGAGGGACAGAGAGAGAGCTGGTAGACAACGAAATAGTCGAACGCGATAGTCAAAGCTATCACTTGTCGCTGCAGCCTAGGGAGAGAAGATAAAGAGAGGGTGAGGAAGAGAGAACGAGGGAGAGTGTATCGCGACGTTCAACGAAAAGTGTTAGAGCGTGGACGAGATCGAAAGAAGAAATCGAGGACCTGTACAGGTCCTTAGCGTTCAGGACGGTGTATGTCTCGGATCCCGTTTCTTAGTTTTTCCTCCGACAACGCTTTGTCCACATTCCTGAGGTAAGCTTATACAATTAGGATACGTTTGTACGGTGACGAGAGGATAATGAAATTTGTACGTTAGCTGCATCATTTTATACTGTCATTTTTGCTCTATGGATTAAATTTGCTTCACAATATTGTAAGAAAAGTTTTCTTACAATCGATACGAACTATGAAAGTTGTTTATAAACTTTAGTTTTTATATCTATAGATTATGTTCATCGATCATTTTTTAATATACACTAAAATGATTTTGAAATTATTTCTGATATGCTGATGACTTCTGTATGAACTTTGTACAATAATTATTTAAAGGAAGAGTGTAAATATCTTTTGGAGAAGAAGAGAAATAAATAAATATGTAACAATTTAAAAAGTCATTATGCCAATGAATTTATAACATTTTTTAAAAACTTGTCAGGGTTTGAGTTCGAAAAATATGTTGCATTATGTCGCAATTTAATCTTGACAACTTTGATTGAATACAGCAATAAATATGTTAAAACGTGCCTCCTTAACATTCGCTTGAATGTCATATATCAACCCTGAGATATCATCCCTATTGGCAGCGTGAAAAACGTTTTCAAGAGAAATCCTCAATTCGTGATTTGATCTTCTATTTGCTCAATGTTCTCTCTGTTCGTCTGGCAATTCGAGTCTTTTTGAGCTTTTAGTTCTTTACGTCTTAACTCGTTACTTCGCAAGAATGAATTTTTCAGATATCTCTTTATTAAAAATCTCTAATCTTAAGAAATAAATTTTTCCAAAGATATAAAGTATCAATCATTAATTATATTAATTTATATTCACATTCATATAAAATTATTACTGTATAACCAATACTTTGTATATTAATCTTTTTTTCAATAGTAGATCAATATTTTATCTCTGACAAATCATTTGACGCATGACGAATTGATTTATTGAAATTTCCTTATGTTCTAGAATTTTATTCATTTTCTATAAATGTTTAAAATTCATAATTAGTATGCATCATTTATCAACAAAAAATATATATCCATGATTAATAGAAAATATACACAAATCTCTTATATTTATTTCTGCAAATAAGCTTGAACAGTTTTCTATTTCGAATTTTTCATTCTGTGTAAAAATACTACAAAATATAGGATGGAAGAGCAATTACGTTATATTCACAGACAAATACATAATCTACAAAAAACAATAGGTGGAAGACCAAAGAGATTGATATTTCTCTGTGAATGTTAACTTCAAACCGCAACTATATGGATTTTATATATCGTATCGGTAAAACCGATTTAATAAAAAAAAGTGTTTATCCCGTGGCTGATCATTGAACACAGAGATTTTCCGCTAAGAGGTCGAGATAATTCCTCAAAACCCTACATATTCGCACGTTATATACTTGCTTTCCGCAAATAGCGCAAAGTCTGCACACGTATAAAGCTACTGCGTGATAGTTTTTCTCGTTCAAGAAAAACGCGCGGCTTTGAAAGAGTTAATAATTATGTGCCCGTGTAACGCGGACTTTATTGATTCGCGAACCGTATGTACACATCGTAATAAGCCATTATGACACGTGCTCCTATTTGAAAACGTGACATTTGCAACTTTGTAACATTTCAGCCCCGAAAGGAACGGAGAAAGCCGAAGCTTATGTCCGTATTTTCTTCAATAATCGATACATATTGAGCCAGTTCGCGCGAATGTACATGAATTTTTACATGTAAACTAAAAAGTATTGAAAAAGATATTTATATGTATATAATTATTTCCCTTGTATATTTATTAAAAAGCCAAGAAAATATAGCAATTTATCTCTTCTAAAACTGTGCTAAGCATGTTATCGGTCTGTCATTATTATATATCAAGTATATGTTAAGATATATATATATTCTATTATGCATCATAATAGTTTCATTCTTCGCTACATCTGTCTTCAAATTTGAGAATTATTTCATTCATCGTAGCTTAACGCTTATATGTACTGATAGTACAATTCACAATTCAACGAACGTAACCAAGTTCACTAAAGTCTCGTAAACTCGGCCTGGACTTGGGCCAAATCGAAATGCCATAGCACCATCGTCGTCGTGCATATAACTATATGCAGCTGAAACAGCTGTTAACCCGACTTGTTGCACCGTCAACTGACGTAACCGCGCTGCAACTGGTGAATTTTATCGCGAATAGGCGTTTCTTTATCGAATAATTATACATTATGAATATCATTTGATATTCATAATTTATAATTATTCGATAAGCACATAATTTCTGTGTTTCAAGTTGAAATATTGATGATTAAATTGGTTAAACTATTTCTCTGCTCGTTATACATATATTTTATTATAATACATTATAAATCAAATGAAAATTAAATTAAATTTATTATCTTTATATTTTTGGATGTGAATGTGTATGTTAATGTATTGATTTTATTATAGAGAAAGAACGGTAAATGAAATTCACACGTAAATACAATATAAATACGTTATAAATTAATTATAAAAGCTATTGTGTTATTATTGTACAATAAAGTTTAATTGCAGTAAATTAAAATTAAACGATATTATATAATCAAGGTAATAGTTTTTGAAAGATTTTAAGCTTTTTTATATATTTCTCTCTCTCCCTCTCTCCTTCTTCTTTAATAAGATAATTTTTTTCATAAAAGATAATAAAGTTTATTTATAAATTTAAATCTAAAACTATTATTATCATAAAAAATCAGGGATATATGTTTATTGTAGGATTATGAATTCTTT